GGCATAGCCTAAAAAGACATGGAGGGAGGGATGGTTTTCGGTACAGGAACAGACTTGCCCCCCTCCTAAGAAAAGGTTGCAAAACACCAGTAAGGTAAATTTTGGAAATTCAGGCTTTCAGGCAAATGGGAAATTCTGAGGGGAGGCACCCCACTCCCCAAGAACACCTTATTTCTCTAATCTCCAAGGAAAGAGCACTGGATTAGGAGTCAGGACATCTGTGTTTCCTGGCACTGCCACTTACTGGCTCTGTGACCTTGGATAATCTCGTAATCTTTCCGAGCCTCAGTTTCCTCATCTGTCAAATGGGGTTGAGAGGAATACCTACCTTACAGTGTTGTGGGGAATTACTCGGATAAAGGGTATGAACATGTTTTTAAACTGTAGAGGGAAGGGCTGTGGTATTATGAGATGTTATCATTCTTCTCTCTTTTTCTTCCCAGAGACCCCCCCGGCCGCCCTCCTCCTTCCCTTGTTCCTGTGGCTGGGGGGGTACCCCCTCCCTCCACGCCATGGAGCCATCTCCTCTCTCTCCCAGTGGGGCAGCACTCCCCCTGCCTCTGTCACTGGCCCCACCCCCACTGCCCCTGCCTGCAGCTGCAGTGGTCCACGTGTCCTTCCCTGAGGTGACCAGTGCCCTTCTGGAGTCCCTCAATCAGCAGCGGCTACAGGGCCAGCTCTGCGATGTGTCCATCCGAGTGCAGGGCCGGGAGTTCAGGGCTCATCGTGCTGTCCTGGCTGCCTCCTCCCCTTACTTCCACGACCAGGTTTTACTCAAGGGCATGACCTCCATCTCTCTGCCCAGCGTCATGGACCCGGGCGCCTTCGAGACTGTCTTGGCTTCCGCTTACACTGGTCGCCTCAGCATGGCTGCTGCTGACATTGTCAACTTCCTCACAGTGGGGTCGGTGCTCCAAATGTGGCACATCGTGGATAAGTGCACTGAACTCCTCCGCGAAGGCCGGGCCTCAGCCACCACCACCACCATCACCACTGCTGCTGCCACTTCTGCCTCTGTCCCTGGTGCTGGGGTCCCATCGGGGAGTGGGGCCACTGTGGCCCCTGCCACCATGGGCTCTGTGCGCTCCCATGCCTCCAGCCGAGCCAGTGAGAATCAGTCCCCCAGCAGCAGCAACTACTTCAGCCCCCGAGAGTCCACTGATTTCTCATCTTCTTCCCAAGAGGCATTTGCAGCTTCTGCAGTGGGCAGTGGGGAACGTCGAGGAGGTGGCCCTGTATTCCCAGCCCCTGTGGTTGGCAGTGGCGGAGCTACCTCTGGGAAGCTGCTGCTGGAGGCAGATGAGCTCTGCGATGATGGGGATGGGAGAGGTGCTGTGGTCCCTGGGGGTGGGCTCCGGCGGCCCACCTATGCACCCCCCAGCATCATGCCACAGAAACACTGGGTATATGTGAAGCGGGGTGGAAACAGCCCAGCACCGGCACCCCTCGTTCCCCAAGACCCAGATCTGGAAGAGGATGAGGAGGAAGAAGACCTGGTGTTGACCTGTGAGGATGATGAAGATGAAGAGCTCGGGGGTGGCTCCAGGGTTCCCGAGGCTGGAGGACCAGAGGCTACCCTTAGCATAAGTGATGTCCGGACCCTGACTGAGCCTCCGGACAAGGGAGAGGAGCAGGTCAATTTCTGTGAGTCCTCCAATGACTTTGGCTCCTATGAGGGTGGGGGTCCTGGGGCGGGGCTTGACGATTCCGGGGGGCCAACCCCTTCCTCCTATGCCCCCTCCCACCCTCCGAGGCCCCTGCTTCCCTTGGACATGCAGGGCAACCAGATCCTGGTCTTCCCATCGTCTTCATCCTCCTCCTCCTCACAGGCCCCAGGCCAGCCACCAGGGAACCAAGCTGAACACGGGGCGGTGACCCTGGGGGGCACCTCAGCAGGGAGCCTGGGCATGCCGGGTGGTGCTGGGGGGACCCCTGGAGGGGCAGGCAGTGGGGATGGGAATAAGATCTTTTTGTGCCACTGTGGGAAGGCCTTCTCCCACAAGAGCATGCGAGATCGGCATGTGAACATGCACCTCAACCTGCGGCCCTTTGACTGCCCCGTGTGCAACAAAAAGTTTAAGATGAAGCACCACCTGACCGAGCACATGAAGACACACACAGGTCTGAAACCCTACGAGTGTGGCGTCTGCGCCAAGAAGTTCATGTGGCGAGACAGCTTCATGCGCCACCGGGGACACTGTGAGCGCCGGCACCGCCTGGGCGGGGGCGGACCCGGACCCGGAGGGCCCGCTGGGCCAGCCCTGCCGCCCAAGAGAGAGTCTCCTGGAGTGGGTGGGGGCAGCGGCGACGAGGCGAGTGGGGCCACGCCCCAGTCCAGCCGAAGGGTCTGGTCCCCACCCAGTGTCCACAAGGTGGAGATGGGCTTTGGTGGAGGAGGAGGAACAAACTGAAGGGGGGGCTCCTGGAGGCAGCTTTCGGGGAAGAGGAAACCGGGAGCACCAGCCAGGGGCGCTGTGGCCCTCAGGTGATCTCCCACCACGCTTACTGTCTTCCTTATCTCTACCGGACTTGTATATATTTTGGAGGGGGAACAATGTTGCACCATCGGCCACCCCATTCCATCCCTCAGCCCCTCTCCCACAAAGTATCCCTGGAACTAAGTCCTTCCTTTCCCTCAGCTCCAGACTGGGGCGCATATGGTGGTGGGGGGAGGGAAAGGGGCTATGGAGCATCCTGGAGTCACAGGGTCAAGGGTCAGGTGGTTGTAGTCTGTACCTGAAGTCTGTGTTTGTGTTGTTGTGGGGACCAGGTTTTGAGCCCCACCCTTGTCCTAGAACCTACCCCACCCCGCTAAGGACGTGCCCTTTATTTCCACCCTAATCCCTCCTATCTCTCCTTGGGGGACCTCCAACTGGATTCTCATTGAGGAGGGAGTGAAGACAAGGAGGGAATATAAGTCGTAAGAATACAAGGTTTTTATTTTAAATCTTATTTTTTTTAAAATGGTGATTAAAATATTTATTGGTCATTTCACTTGGCTTGCCAACAGCCCCTATGTGTTTGCTGGGGATCCGAAGCAGGTTGGGGAAAGCGGAGTAACGGTTCTCTAGGAAGTAGTTTCTGGAAGGAGGGCACCGAGGGGGAGCCTAGGGTTGGGGAGGGTTTCTGGAAGTGGGTGGTGCTGTGTGGTCCAAGAGGGAGGGGCAGGGCGGGGCGGGGCTGAGGTCCCCAGATCAGAACTGGAGATAGTGTTCCGGGATCTGTGCCTGGCCTGTGTGGAAAGCACCTGCCTCCCACGTGGCCTCACCCAACCAGAGGGGATTTCCGGCGACTCTCCAGCCGGCCTTTCAAGGAAAATGAAAGTGAAAGGGAGAAGTGGAGGTTTCAGAGCTGAGCAGATCGCTGCGCCATGAAGCCCCTGTCTCTGCTCCTCTCCGTGGCTTTGGGTGAGCGAACCCCGAGACTCTGCTCAAGAACAGGGAAGAGGCGGAGGGAGGTGACCCACCACGCGCCAGACGCGGGGGTGCGGGACGAGGGTCGCCTGACCTCTGGACCGCTCCCTCACTCGCGCCCCTCTCCTCCAGGCTTGGTGACCGCCGTCTCGGCGGGACCCGCGGTGATAGAGTGCTGGATGGTGGAGGACGCGGGCGGGGGCCGCCTGACCAAGAAACCCGCCGCACTGCTGCTGCGCCAGGGCCCAGGGAGACTACCTCCCCGGCCGGACCTCGAACCCGAGCTCTACCTCAAAGTGCGCGGTGAGTCATCCCGGACTCGCCCTCAACTCCCACTTCCACCGAAACCCCCTCCTCTTTAGGTCGCACTGTGACCTCAGGCCTCAGTTTCCCCTTGTAAAATGAGCCTGGATTACCTGTAAATCTCTCACTACTGGGTAGTTTGTGCATTTGGAATTCCCTGGACACTGCCCTCCCCGTCGCGTTCCTGGTGGTGACTACAGCAGCAATTCCCTTGTCCGCGCTCACAGACCCCGCGGGAGCCCTGCAGGCTGCCTTCAGGCGGTACCCCTCGGACGCCCCTGCACCACACTGCGAGATGAGCCGCTACCTCCCGCTCCCTGCCTCAGCGAATTGGGCCAGTGGCTTGACCCCGGAGCAGAGCTGCCCTCGGGCCCTGGATGGGACTTGGCTCATGGTCAGCGTGTCCAGCCCGATCTTAAGTCTCTCCAGCTTCCTGAGACCAGAGTCCGAGCCTCAGCCGGAACCTAATCTCATCACCATGGTAACAGGTAGCTGGGACGGGGAAGTAGAGGTGAACGGGTAGATTCTAAGGGTCTAGATCGGCCTGTGACTCGCTCTGTGGAACTTAATTGGAACTAATTGGGGCTTAGTTTCCTTACTTGTAAAGCAAGGCGGTTCGGCTAAGATTAAACAATCTACCGCTAACAGCTTATTCTAGCTCCTGCCCACTTGAAAACAACCACCCACAACCTGCGGTTTGGGGGTGGGGCTTCGTGGAGTTCGCAGGGGCAGAGCTTTGGGAAGAGTGGCTGACTTTCCCTACACTGGACGTTGAGTAACTTGTAAGGGAATGGGGTTTGGGAGGGGCTCAGAAGCAGGAAAATGTTTTTCTCCTCTCCTCCTGGATCTTTATCTTGCGTTTCACTCTGTTTCAAAAACCAGGGTTCAAGCCCCATCCGTGCCCACATCCGGAACTTCTGCACTTAGCAAAACAAAGGCTCTTGCGCTCTAGAGCGTTGACATTTTCTGACTGCCCCTTTCCTATAGTTCGTGAGGATGCGCTGATTCTGTGGTCACCAAATGGTGGACTTGGAGGAAGAGACAGGGCAGGAGACCTCCTGGTTTCCACTGCAAAGACCCATTTCTGTGCATGGTGCAATGCGGTTTTGACGCCCAGGAGTCTGGCACTTTGCCGAGAGGAGGCATGAGAAGGAAGTGGGCAGATAAAAACAATCAACTGGGTATCTAGGAGCTCACCTTTCTCGCAGCAGAAGGTGGGTAGGATATGAGTAGTCATTGGCTTCCCTCAATCTTGTGCGACTTTTTTTTAAAGTTTAAAGTTGATTTAAATTTTATGTATGTATGTATGTATGTATGTTAAGTAATCTCTACGCTCAGCCTGGGGCTCGAACTCAAGACCCTGAGATCAAAAGCCATATGCTCTTTGGACTGAGCCAGCCAGGCTTCCCTTGTGCCATTGTTTGTAAATGACACAGCCCAACCAGCAGATAAACCCCAGCTGAGGGCTGTACCCTCCCTTCCCTTCCCCAGGACCGTTTTCCTGCTACCCTCCTCCCTGAGAGTGAATCACCTACAGGACCAGGGAAAGGGACTCAGCAACTGCCTAATCACCTCTGCCTACACTTCTGTTCTTAGCTCCCAGGACTCACCCTAGGCAGGGGCAGAGGCAAACTGCCCCTTGTGGGGATAGTAGCTCTCTCCAGTGGCAAGGAGTATTTCCCAGGGCTTCTGGCTTCACTGAGGTGGGGGTGACAACATACTTTTTCTCTGAGTCTGTTTTTCCAACTGTAAAATGTGGATGCTGTTTCCTATCCGCCTTTCTGTTGTGACTATCATGTGACTATCATATCACTCTGTTAATGTATTCACTGGTTCAATATTTATTAGCACCAAGGATAAATTAGGGCCCAGTGGTTCTCAGTCCAGGCTGCAAGTAAGAGTCCTGTTGGAAGTTTCTAAAATGTACTGAATATAGGGACGCCTAGGTGGCTCAGTCAGTTGTGTTAGCCTCTTGCTTTAGGCTCAGGTCATGATCTCATGGTTGGTGAGTTCCGGCCCGAGGAGGGGATTTTCTCTCTCTCTCTCTGCCCCTCCCTCATTCATGTACCAGAGCTCACTCACTCTCTCAAAATAAATAAATAAACTTAAAAAAATAATAAAATACACTGAATCCTACCACTCCAGGAGAATTAAGTCAGAATCTTGGGGTAGCCCTGGACATTTTTAAGAGTCAAGAACACGATCAGGGGGCACCTGGGTGGCTCACTCAGTTAAGCTGCTGACTCTTGATTTCCACTCAGGTCATGATCTCAGGGTTCCTGAGTTTGAGCCCTGGGTCAGGCTCTGCAGGACCTTGTCTGTCTCCCTCTCTCTGCCCCTTCCACTTGTGTGTGCTCTCTCTCTCTCTCTCTCTCTCCTCTCTCTCTCTGGAAAACAAAAAAAAAAAGGTGATCAGACGTAGATTCTGCTCTCTAGAAGGTTCTCAGCAGGTTTGTCATGGGTAATTGTAATGTAGAGTAGAAAGCAATTTGGGCCATTAGAGTAGTACAGATAGGGAGCCATGAGAGCGCCCAGGTGGGACAATTCTCTGCTTCTCACAGACCCCTGGGGGTAAAAACTAGTTGCTGTGCTCAGTCTTCCTTTTCAAGCATTTCTGCTTGATTAGGGATTTAAGAAAATTAAAGTTGTTGTTTTAACGTAAAATTTAAAATGTATCTTTCTAGTGTCACAGATCATTGGTAATTTTGCTAATACACATTTAGACAGTATTTCTTATCAAATACTTCAAAATGTTTGTTGACAAATACACTGTCCTAACGCAGTTTGTGTGTATGGTATTTAATTCTCTTTTTTT